ACGGATACCTACGGATAGTACTGTTGTTTATTGTTCACACTAGAAGCACTAATGAAACAGGATTATAGATAAATAATAATATAAAAATTTAAGTATGAATTATGAAAGGATATTTGAGAAATAATACATGTCTGTTTTGATTGAAAAAGTCCAATTATTACATGTAGTACTACTGGTTGCTTGGTTTGATTGGATTCTTTACTGGACAAATCAAACACAAAAGTTATATGTGATTTATTTGATTGAATTTTAATTTAATAAAAAAAATATAAATTATTTAATATTTTTAATAAAAATCCCTAAATGATAATATATTATAAAAAAATAATGCATTCTTATAATAATAATCATCATTTTTAATATCTTTTAAATATATAATTAAATTACACACTTTTATGATTTAAAATTATAATTCAAAACTGTTATCATAAATTTAATAAACATAAATAATATTATAAATAAAATATAATCATATAATTAAATATATTTATTAATGATAATTAAGTGTAAATATATAATTTATTTTTAAATAAAATTATTAATGTTTAATCTAAAATTGAAACTAGACATTACAGTTTTGAAAAAAAAACTAAATTAATAAAAATTCAATTTATAATCCATATCAACTAATAGTTTTAGATTAATATATATATATATATATATATATATATATATATATATATCACACTTATTATTTTTTAAATGGGTTTGTTATTCATCAAAATTTATTAAGTATAATAATTTTAATGAGTTCTATTTTATGTAATATTTTTTATTTTAAAATTTTTAATTAATTTTAATTCTAAAAAAAATGTTTTGAAAGCACCTTTTAGGTAGACAAACTTGTCCAAATACCTAATTGTGTGTTTACTTATTCATTAGTGGGGCTAATGCATAGAGTTGATATTTTAGTAATAAGAAAATTTGTTAAAAAAAATTAGGTTTATTGAAATGTGAATTTGAATTAATTTTTAAATTATTTACTAGAAATATAAAATTTTAAAATATTCTTATAATCTGTTATTGTAATTTTTTATTTACCAAATTTATATAAAAAATATTATAATAATAAAAATAAAAATAAAACCATTTTTATACAAATTATAAATTATAATTTGTTAGTTTTGTACAAAGTACAAAACTTAATATTAGTAGAAAGAATAAAATACGCTTTATTTGTTTTTACTAATTTTTTATGTTAATTTTTATCAAATAAAAAAATTAATATTATTGTAAAACACTGAACAACATTGGATTTATTTTTAAAAAAATCTTACAAAAAATAGTACAATGAAGAATTTTCGTTATGCAATATACACAAATTTCAGTAATAATTTTCTTTTTCACATACTATTAAAAGAAAAGGACTATTTGAAAATATATATATATATATATATATATATATATATATATATAATACTAATTTTATTACCGTGTAATCACTAGCATCATGTAAATTTATTATAAAATTAAAATACATAATAATTATTAATATATATTAATTGATATAAGTATTATAAATATTATATATTTATAATATATTTATTTATATATAATATAGATAAAAGGAGATATAAATTTTTTAAAATATTAATTTAAAAATAATTAAACATTATATTTTAATATACTTTCTATATATATTTAATGTATATTATTATAAAAAAATTACACTAAGGTGTAAAATTAATAAAAAAATATTAATTCATCTATGATTTATTAAAAATTTTAATTGATGTAAAATGTTTAACAAAATTTTTATTTAAATTTAAACTTATTGTTCAAAATAAAATAAATTATTTATGCACTAAAATTTTTATTTACTTGAAAGATAGTATCTTTTATTTAATAATAAAAATAAATTAAATTTATAATCTTGATCATTATATTTCAATTTTCTTTTTCAGTGGTAACATTTTTAATGGAGTGGAAATGTTCAATGTTTTTGTCATGACTGATTCATAAAATAAAAAAATGAATGAAAATTGAACGATGAAAATAATCATACATCATCTATAAAACATACATTTGTTTATCTTTTTATTTTTCTGAAACAATTTGAAACAGTGAGTGAAAGTAATCACGTATAAAAATGAAATTCTCAACGCATATATATATATATATATATATATATATATATATATATATATATACTAAAAAAAAATAAACTCAATAAATTATAGGAAAAAGTAATATAGTAAAACATAATACTTGAATTTTGAAAATTATTTTTCTTTAAGAAGGTGAACACAGCTTGTAAGCACAATATGAAGGTAGTGTAAAATTATTTACTCAAACAAAGCAAATGAATATATTTTGGAGACTATCCATTTTAAGTTATAGTCTTTTTCATTTTGATGCATGTAACCCATGCCATGAACAAACATATTGTGTTGTTGAAACACCTAAAAATTAAGTTTAACATCATAAATGGAAATCAGTAAGATAAAAGTTAGTGTAAATGTGAAACCTACTTAAAAAAAAAAACGATAACAAAATATAATAACTAGAAAACAAGTAATATTGATAGAAAAAAAAAAGTGTATAAGTTTTCCGTTTGATAATCTTAAAACCCAAAAAATACAAAATAAAAAAAATACAAAAAAATATAGAAACTTGTCAGTTTTGAGAATCTTAAAACTTGAGAAATAATAAAAAACCTTAATCCTAGAAAAAGTGAAAGGAGAAAAATTTTGGTATAAAAATAGTCTTAATTTGTGCTAATACATAACGCGTCAAATCTTAATATTTATTTGAAAAATCTGGACTAATACAGAAGATTTCAAAAGCTAACCTTAAATTTTCAGCAAACATAGAAAAATTGTTTTTTTTTTTTTTAAATAGAGTAAGAGAAAAGCTTCATTTGGTGCATCCACTGTATAAGAGACCCAGGGGCTGTAAATGAATGAGAGTGGGTGGAGAAGTGGTGAATTAATGCAATAATGTCATTTATAATATGTTTTCTTTTTAACTGTTATGGTTTGAAATAATTATTTATTATTATTATTTTTTTGGAAATTTTCTTTTTTATGATCTGTGTTTCCAATAATAATAATAATAATAATAAATATTATTATTATTATTATTATTATTATATAATTGATTGTTTCATATAATTTAAAAAAAAAAGCTTATTGTTTTAATATAATAATAATAAATTAAAATAATAGAAATATTTTTTTCTTTCTCTGAATATAAAGAATTTCATTTTATATCTTCTTGTTGTTTTGTTTCTCAACTCCTCAGATCTATTTTTTAATCTACCTGGAGATGGACTATCATTTGTTCATTTCTCACATGCATATATTTTTTTCACTAACAAAATTATAAGTGAGATTATATACTTGAGATTTTAATGAATTCATGTGATGAGAATTTAAAAGATTCATAATATTTAAAATATTTCATTAATTTTTGTTAAACAAAATTCGAAATTAAAATAGTCAATCAATATAGTTATTAATATTTATTGAAACATCTAATCTTACAGGGTTATTCAAAAAGTTATTTATAAATATACACAACTATTTAAGAAACAAAACAAACTAATTAATGTTATTTTAAAAGAGTTTTATTTTTCATGACCATATCCCAATTCAAATATATTTATCTAGACTATATGTTGTGCCTCATTAGCTGTTAATATTTATTTCATAATAAAAAGGGAAGTTCATATGAATAAAGTATTACATGAGAGTTGTGTTGATTTTGTTTTTCCAATACATAATATGCTTAGACAAAAATAAGTTGTAAAATCTCTTTCAAGAATTTTTTTTTTCCTTCTTCAAATGTCTTGAGAGAGATTTTACAGATTGAATTCTCTTATATCAGTTTATAGTAATTAATGTCTTTAATTTGTAAAATCAAATTGAATTCTCTTATATCAGTTTATAATAATTAATGTCTTTAATTCACTAATAATAATATATAATTAAAATTATAAATATTGATAAGAATAAAATTATTCAATTTTATCATAAATGAAATAATGATTTTATATTATTTGTTTATAAATATTCATAACAATAAATTAGTAATGTCAAAAGACATTTTTATATGGATTTTAAAAGATATAAAATACATATTCTTTAAATTGAAAATAACAAAATTTTAAGATTAATTAATAATATTAACGGCTTATTAAATTTTTTAATAATTGTTTAATTATGTAGAATATAATTTATTATTTTAAGAAGAGAAACTTATCACCACAAATAAGAATTAAAGTAAGAGTTAGATTCAAAACTGATATTAAAAATTAATTTATTAAAGAAAATAAAAAATAAAACATTTGTCTATAAGACCATTAAATAAAATATTGATATAACAATTAATGTATATTTTAATAATACTTTCTTTTGTGATTAAATTTTATGGTTATTTTATAATGTTATTGTTTTAGGGGTTTTAGATTTAAAATTAGATCTTACTCATAACTAGAGTACTTTTTTTATTATTATTATATGAGTTAGAAAAATAATTTCATTTATAAAATTAAAAGTATATAAAGAAAGTAATAACAATTATTATTATTATAATAGCAAAACTTTTAACAATATTTTTTCTTATTTAAAAAGTAAAAAAAAAACGCAGAATAATTTATTTTTACTCTTTTAAGGCAAGAGAAAAAGGTGTTAAATATTTGAAAAGAATTCTGAATGGAGAAAGATGTGAAGAGAGAGAAATAAAAAAAAATGATTAATATATATAAGGAAAACTCTTTCAATACATAACATCCGGAGGAGAGAGAAGTGTGCTGGAAGTCGGAGAAAGAAAGCGTGGTGGAAAAGGGTATCATTTCTTTCATTTGTGCGAATATGTCCCAAGAGAGGGAGACGAAGGTCACGAGGTTGTGTGATTTGTGAATGAAACCCCCACACGTTACCAACTCTTTATTCTCTCTCTTACTTTTATCTCTCACGTCCTCTTACCACTTAACTATTCACACTCTCTCTATCTATTTCCCATAATTCCAAACGTACTCCATCCCATCCTTCACTGCCATGGACCCTGTGGAGGTTCTCCCTCCCTGGGTTTCCGAAGACGACCTTCTCCTCAAGAATGCTGTCGAGGTACTCAATTCTTCCAAACCCTACTCAATTTCTACTTAATTATGTTATTTTTTTTATACCTTGATTTTTGCAGAATTAAGCTGTTTGGAACAAATGAACTGACAATGGAATTACAATTTGACATCAAATTATGTGATTGCTGTCATTTCTTATTTGAGTCAATCTGATTGGTTTGATTGTGTTTAATTTTTTTAGGCTGGTGCTTCCTTGGAATCCCTGGCCAGAGGAGCAGTTCGGTTCTCAAGGCGGTACTCCTTTAGGGAATTGCAAGATCGGTGGCTGTCTCTGCTTTACGACGGAGATGTTTCCACGGAGGCTGCTATTGCCATGAGGAAATTGGAGCTGGCTAAGTCAGCCGCTGTAACCCTTGGCGAAGGAGTTGGTGGTGGGGAGAAGAAGAAATTTCAAAACAGTGGTGGTGTTGGAGAAAAGAGAAAATTTCAAAGCATTCGCGACCGGTACTACACCATGCAGAAAAAGTTGCGCCGGCACCGGATTAGCATCATGTCTTCCAAGGTAAAGAATGGGGTGGTGGGGTGTGAGGGAAAAGAGAATGTGATGGTTGATGGTAATTTAAAAAGTGATGTTGTGAATAGTAGTATAGTTGATTATGGGAATTGTTTGGGGTTAGAGGGGGCAGAGGTAGGACAATTGAATGATTTGGTGAGTGATGAACCTATGTGGAAAACTATTGAGGATGTTTGTTTGCCTGATAGCGGTGAGGGTAAAAGTGATGGTTCTGAAGGGAGATTGGATTTGAAAGAGGAGTGTTTGAATGATGGATTGAAATTAAATGTCCCTGATGCTGAATGTCTCCTGAACTTGACAAATGAGGATGAGCTTATCCTAACGGATGTAGATGGAAAGGAGGAGGTAAGGGCTGTGGATAAAGATAATAAGGACAAGGATAAGTCATGTCACAATAATGTTGATTCAATTCTGTTTAGTTCTCCTGGTGATGTTAGTGAATTGCAGAAGTTGGATGTGGAAGCAAAACTTGCTGTGCCTAGTGGATGTGCTTCTGATGGGCTGGGGGTTGCTGCTAATCAATTCGTTGGCAGTTCTGGTGATCAGCATTTTGTTTCTGATTCTGGAAACAATGATGCACTGTCAGCTGCAGCACAAAGTCCTCACCCTGAACACAATGAGGGATTTATGATCTGTGTATTGAATACCGAGGACCCTGATATCCCATGCAATCTTAACACGGATGTATCCATTGTAGTTTCTGAATTGGAAGCTCTGAAATCCCAACCAATTGTTAAAGAGGTGGGTTATTCAGAATCTGCTATTGGTATTCAAAGAAGAAATGAACCAGATGGAAGCCTGAAGAAAGAAGCCGTCCTTTCTCAGCCTTATTCTGCTTCACAAACATCTCGACAGGGATTGATGCATAATGTGAATTCAAGCTACCGACCTGTTGTTCTTGGACTGAAATGTGAAAATCCTGGAAGAAACTCAATATCTTCAGTTTCTAGACAGAATAGAAATCTCAATGTCAACTCAAGTCATGGCAGATCAGTTCGTGCAACTGTGATGCCTGCCTTAGATAGACATCTAAAACAAGAGGTAAAATTTGTTGATACCAGGATGCCTTATAATTGGAAAAGTCATTATGGAACTAATTATGATTTTACTTAAGAAAATTTCAATGAAGTTGCATTACATAAACAGGATATGGACGGTCCAGCTGTTGCACGTGTTAAGGCCCAGGAGCATAAAGCTTTGTCAAAATCAGAAAAAGAAACAAAATCATTATCTCTTGATCAAGAAGGAGGTAATATTGAAGATGATGACAACTATAACAATTATGATGATGATTATAATGATGACGAACTTCCTCAATTTTCTGATGTTGAGACAATGGTATGTATAATGTTCTGCATTGAATGGTGATAGTTCCTTGTATTTAGTTGTGCTAAGTTATATCTTATATTCTTGATGTTGCCTTCTCAGATTCTTGAAATGGATTTGTCTCCAATGGATCAAGACGCAAATGCAAGGAGAGAAGGTAAATCATCTGACTCTAGATAAAGCAAAACTATCACTTCTCTCTAATGTTTTTAATTTGAAAAGGCCAACTTGTTGCACAAGGTTGCCTACCCCCATGTCGGATCTAGGGAGGGCTAGATAAAGCAAAACTATACTTCTCTCTAATGTGTAGAATATATGGCCAACCTGGTCATAAGGCAACAAACCTTACTGTTGTGGCCTAGTTTGCCCCTGCTTAAGGCTGTATATTTTAGCTCAAAAATTGTTAAAAATGAAAATTGAATGTTTGAGTTTTTCAACGAAAATGAAAATTGATTCAGTTTTTTTTGCTCCGCCAGTTTCTAATCAAATACCAACAGTTATGTTTAAAATATGGATTCAAATATTTTGCTCTGATGTTTTATGGCTAACATTTTTCCTCATTGGATTTGCCAATCTCTGGGTATTTTAATGATGGTTGTCTTCTAATATGTAGTCTTTTATTGCAGTCTTGAGATATCAACATGAAGAAAGTAGGAGGACCATCATGAGATTGGAGCAAGCTGCTCATTCCTCTATGGGAAGAGCCATTAGATCTCAGGGTGCATTTGCAGTAGTATATGGGCGCATTCTGAAGGAATATATTAGAAAAAGCATGGTGCAATTCTGAATTTGCTTCTGCTGTTTTCCTTTAAAATGTGCAAGAATGAATGTTTCCCTATATTTTCTTCCTCCCAAGTCACTGTCATGAACCTTGTGGATTTTCCTTTTAAATATGTTAGTACCTTTATAGGGAATGCGTGCATGCTATTGTTCTTTCCACACTATGATTTTCTGTCTTGTATTATCGTCTAATTATCATTGATTAATGCTTTAGTTTAGGTAATATGGGAAACAAAATAGAAAAAGTTTAGCTTTAAATGGTCTTTGTAAATAGTCAATGTTCATATTTGGTCTAGCAGTTCGATGATTGTTGAGTGTCTTATTTCTGTTAGTTGAGCCATTTGTGGCTTCCAATGTTTTAATTAATTGTGTAACATCATTGGATTCTGTAGTGGCATCTGCATCTCTGAAAAATTATTGACCCTTAGTAGAGTGAACTGTATTATATTGAATGCCATGTTCATAGTGTGTCTTAACAGTATAAGTTATTTTTCTCAGTCTGTGCTATCTCTTTCTATTTCACAGGTTATACTTGGCAGAGCAACAAATGATGTACATGTTGATATTGACTTGGGAAAAGAAGGGGAGGAGGCGACTACGAAAATATCTAGAAGACAGGTAAAATTTCTCAGAAGTTTTTGGTGGAAAATTTCTGCGTATGATTGATTTTGCCGATGAAGTTGTTATTAATCTATTGAGAATGTGATGGTGTTCATATGAATCTTTTGGTTATTGAATTAAATAGTATTATGATGATGTCTAGATCCGTATCATTTTTGATATGCAGGTGCCCCATACATAGCAAGAACTAGAATAATATTCTTTTAATGGAATAAATCCAGAAATTTTCAAGATCCTTCTAAATTTGAAATTTCCTCCACTGAATTTATAGTAGTATGAATCATAAATTACTTTTTGTCTTATAGGCTTTAATAAAGCTCGAAGTAGATGGTTCTTTCATTATTAAAAATCTTGGCAAGAGATCTATCTTCTTGAATGGCAAAGAAATTGCTTCAGGACAAGCGCGGGGTCTTGGTGCTTGTAGTGTGATCGAGGTAACTGTCTTTCCTTTCTATTTTGAACAACTTTTACATAGTAATACTGCAACTTTGTTCTTTACCTTTGGAACATAATAATATGTGGTAAATGAATTCCATGCAGATTAGAGGCATTTCACTCATCTTTGAGACCAATAATAGGTGCGTGAAGAGGTTTTTAGAAAATGTGAGTGAAAAGATATGAAGATAAAAGGAAGAGGGGGTCTGTCTGTAAGAACAGAAACGGCGTCAAAGTTCGAATGTTTAGGGTAGCATTCTTATGCCAGCCAAAAATATAATTTATACCAGCTAATATTTTATATTAGTGTGTTGTAGATCGAAAGTCAGAAACTGTACATATGGATAGAAGATAAAAAGGCCTCACAGTAGATATAGTATAATATTTAATTTGGCTGCTGTGCAATGGGAACCAATTGTTGTCTCGCTTGTTTCTTATTTCCCATTTTGATGTAATAGGAATTTTAACGCAACAGGCATCCCCAACCCCAAGTAGGAATAATCATCAATAAATAATTATTAAACAATGGTATGGTTTCCAACAATTTTAAAGTCTCTCTATTTAATATAGGGTTTCGATGCCACCTGATTGTGGCGGTTTTCCTCGGGCAATTAGAGTATTTCCTTTATTATTTTATAAACTTTTTGGTTGAACTTGGAGGAGTGAGTATCAGTGATTGATTTATAAAATTCTCTCCCTTTCCCTGCTTTTAAGATGGGAGAAAAGGCTAAAGAAGGGCTTTTGGACATTAATTTCATCAACAACCATATGGTGACACCATGAAGGCTAGTCGTTGTTTTAAACAACCAACGAGTACTTGAGTAAGTTTGTAGCCATTTGTCGCGTAGTATATCACTAACGGGGACGCCAGCTGGAAAATTTGCTCAGCAGCAACTACATGGTTTTCCCAAGTGAGCAACAAACTTAATTTTCTTGTTTGTCAGTAGTTGTATGGTGTAGGTGTATTTTATTTGGAGTATTTAGGCTCAATCTGGATCAGATTTATGGGTCAACATAGCATAGCAAGATAAATTTTTACATACAAGCTCAATGTTGAAATTGAACTCACTCGTAAAGCCAATAAAAACATCATTGTTACAGTTCCCTTCAGCTACCACTACAATTCGCTTAACAACCATTCACAATACGATTTTCTCTTATGGCATAAAGTTAAACATTTATGCACAAATCACCAACACACTAAACAAACCAATTGCAATTTTTTATGCATTAATAATATACCATCGCAATTAATTTAATTCATTAAATAACACAATCTAAATTTACTTAGCAAACTGTCTATTATTGGCATTTGTGCATATATCTTAGTTGAAATAAAAACTTCTGTAAGCAAGTATTCCTCGCATTTAATATCATTAACCATCGTTAGCGATTAAGTTTAATTTTCTTAAGACTATATCTAGTGAGCGACGTCTAAAGAGATTTACACAAAAGAATACTTGGACAAGGGTTAAGAAAGACCAGTTTAACAAATACTTGGATTATGAAGATTATGCGTTCCTTGTATAAACAACTATTTGTGTTATAGTGGAAATTTTAGAAGGTAACTAAGGGTTAGTAGTAGGGATGACAATTAAACATGTATTTCTGGGAATCGATCACTTTCCACTCCGAGTTTGACAGGAAAAAATCGAGTTGACGAGACGGAACAGATTCGAGTATTTTCCGTTTTAAAAAGTCGGGGACGGGGACGGGGATGAGTAATGCAATCCCTATCCTGATCCCGTCCCCCAACTTTATATTTAAAATTTAAAATATTAATATTTTAAAAGTATTTTATTTTCTTTTTCTATTATATATAAGATCATTTTTTTATATTTTACCATTTTTATTTTTATTTTATCCATTTTTTAATTTTTTTGTCTTTTTTAATATTTTATATCAATTAGTTTATTACATTATTCACTTTCTCTTACCTTTTAGTTTTTCACATTTCCTTAATCTCTTTAATCAAATTTTTTTTCAACTAATTTGATGAACACAAAGTTAATTTTTTATTTCTTTATCTTTTTCTAAATATTTTACATAAATCTTAGTAGTAACTAATATTATTTTATTTATAATTTATATTTATTAGGTTTTATTATGTCATACTTTTTGGATCTTATTACACTACAAGAAAATCTTATATTACGGATAGATATGTATCCGTCGAAAAATAAGTGATTACCGACGGATATATTCGTTGATAATCCGTCAATAAATGAATAATTAATTATCGACGGATATATCTGTCGGTAAATCCATTGGTAAATAAACAAATAATTACCGACGAATATATCCGTTCGGTAATTATTTGTTCATTTACCGACGAATTTACCGAAGGATTTAAAGTATATTTTTAAAAATCAACATTAAATTAAAAAAATTAAATATTTAAAATTATATAATAATTACTTAATTTTTAAATATATTCTAATAAACACGACATACACTTTCACCGTCGAGTGTCCCGACATCCAACATATAAATATATAACTATATAAATATATCAAAATATATAAATATATTTGTATTTATATATTTTATATTTATATATTTACACGAATATACATTTATTTGTATATAAATATAATTTATTTATAAATTATTATTAGAAAAAATTAGTAGCTTAATGGTTGGAGTATCAATCTTCAACTCTAAGGTATCGAGTTCTCTTATTCTTAAAATTGTAATAACTAATAAAAATATAATATAATTAGAAGGGAGACCTTATAAATTAAATAATTTAATAAATAATAATAATAATGTTATAAATATTCTATTATATATTAAATATTTCTTTTACATAATATAAATATAATAAATTAAAATATATATTTAATTAATAATAATTACAAACTTTAAAATTATAAATATTTATTTATATATTAAAGATACATAGTAAAATTAATTTATTATACATAATTATATTTTTCAAAATAATATAGATCGGGAACGAGGCGAGAACGGGAACCCGAAACCCAACTGGAATGGGGTGGGAACTTAATTTCTAACCCCAACGGGGATTAGGAGGCAAAACTCACCCCGCCTCGTTGTCATGCCTTTAATCTCGAGATGTAAAATAGAGTAATATCAATTTAAATTGTTATTGTCTTAATTTTATAATTTTTTTAAATAACTCAAAATGATTGTTCTATGAAAAAGGTTTTAACTCCGAATTAAGTTTCTCCATACAATGATTTTACGTCATTCGATTCATTGTAATTTATAAGTTATATGATCAATTCCTGTTGTGATTATCTAATTAGCAAAGCTTCAAATGCACAAAGATTATTGGTTTTGACCTCATTAATATTAAGATTACCTTTTTATTACTTATTAATACTAAAGTGATGTATTTATTATTTGAAGTCATAAAAGTATCAATGAAATCGTACTTCATGATGACTCGAACTCTTCAATACGCTAATCAATTACATTTAGTGATTGTTATGATAATAACTTATCTGGTTGCATAGGGTGGAAAAATCTAATGTTACACTTACATTCTTCTGTTACTAATAATATTTTTCCTTTATAAGTATTAGAGGGTTTTTTTTTTTTTTTGTCTTCATTTAAATAGTTTATCTTTGTTGGGAATTGGCATCAATATAGTCATTGGGGTAATCTAATCCATGATGTTAATAGTTGTGTTGTGTTGTTAAAGAAAATGTAATTAAAAAAATAAAATAAATCTATGGTGAGTATATCCCTCTGCCCTTAATATTTTAAGTTTTTACAATTCCTCCTAGTAAACTTAGTACCCTCATGAGTTTTGAACCATTTTTTAATAAAAAAATATGGTGCTACGACATTAATAGGTTATTTATCATTTAAACTATATTAACATTAATAATGTTACAACGTCTCAAAATACCATAAAAAAATAAAGGATAAAATATACCTTTTATATTAATTATTTTATTAAATTTTTAATCATCATTAATAAAGTTATTAGTAAAAAAATAATTAATTTTATGTCAAATGATTTATTAATAATATATATTCATACTTATAGCATCAAACAAAAACGATTCATATATATTATAGTTAATACCACAAATATTAGTATTATATCATTTGATGATTCACTTGACAATAAAACTAACTTTATCTTTAATTCTACCAATTAAAAACTTAGTAGAACAACTAATATTATATAAAAATCAAATAAATATTTTAATTATATTAAATAAAAATATTTGTAATAGTTATTATATAAAAAAATACATTTTACCTTAAAATAAAATAAAAGACCATTCTGACATGAAAAAATATATATATATGTTTTTGAAAAATTTAAGATAAATGAAGTTAGGAACATTATGCTACTAAGTATAAACATATAAAATCTAATATTAGAAAGATTATCATCACATTGATTAACCTCTTTAAAAATCTAAAAAATAAATACATACTTACAAAATAATTCAACCATTTACTTAAGATTACAAAGAACAATAGAAATATTATTACCAAATTTGAAAATAAGTTGAGAAGCACAATAATTCTAAAGATTAATCTAACCATTAGGAGTTTCTATGCCAAGAATCACAACTCAGCACCTGTACGAATAAAATGATTACTAAATTCTAAATACTAAAGTGGTAATAAATTCAATAATATTAATTGTTGTAGCATTATTTTTGTTTGACAATCATCAATGTAGCGAGATTCAAAATATACAAAATCTATTATTTTATTGTGGTGTTTAAAAATTTATGATCATTAATTAAAAAATAAAACAAATTAATTGGAATATTTTAAGAGATAGTTTTTTAACATTGAAAAAATATAATATTACAAATTCTTGTGTAACAAACGCAATCCTACGGTACCAAATTACTAATACTCACAAAGGAACATAACATATGTGACAAAACTCATTAAGTGAAAAACTATTTCACAAAGTTTGAGAAATATTCTATTAAAAAAGATGATTAATTACAAAAAAGAAAGAACTCTTAGTTAGTCAAACCAAATTTATCTATGTTAGATGTTTCTATTTTTTCTTCTCTTACTAACATATACATCATTGTTTTGTATATAAATACATTCTTTATCTTCTCATAAA